GGGGGCCAAGGGCGGAGGACGTTCCCCATTTGGAAATGCGTTGGAGAAAAACCTGCATCTGATTGTGGGGATCCAATGGGATGACGCATGGAATAGCGCCCAGTTGGCGGCATGTGACGAATGTCGGTTGAGCGTCTGGTCCATGCTGCGTTCTCCGCTGCGTGAGCTCCTCTAGACACGCGGGATACAGCGGTGAACGAAACGGCAAAGCAAACCCTTGTCCCTGCGGCCGTTACCTTTTTAGCAGGAAGCGTTGGTTTTATCATCAGCGGTATCGCCTTCCTCAGGGATGTCAGCCCGGTGCAGTGATTCCGGCCCTGGGCTGAGCTCTGGGGCCTGGACCCCACCCGGGAGGGGCCTCCGTTTCCCTGAGTGTGTGCAGGCCATCCTGGCTGAGATAGTCAGGCCCTGCGACTGTGAGATTCCGAGTCCCCTCTGTCCCCACAGTGGTGTCAGACCTGTGTGCCACCGGAGACCATGACTGTGAGCAGGTGTGCATCAGCTCCCCGGGCTCCTACTCCTGCGCCTGCCGCGAGGGCTTCACCTTGAACAGTGACGGCAAGACCTGCAATGGTCAGTGGGCTGGGCCCAGGCAGCCCTGGGGAGGGGGCTGAGGAAGGGACGGGGTCTCGGCTACTTCTCAGTCCATCTGAGCCTTCCCACACGTTGCTTCTGGACCAATCCGCGAAGGTGATAGATTCCTTCTAGAGCAGCGGTTCTCAACCTTTCACAGGGGTCGCCTAAGACCATCGGAAAACACATATATAATTACATATTGTTTTTGTGATTGATCACTATGCTTTAATTATGTTCAATTTATAACAATGAAATTGGGGGTCACCACAACATGAGGAACTGTATTAAAGGGTCGCGGCATTAGGAAGGTTGAGAACCACTGTTCTAGAGTTTGATGTCACCAAAAATTCCCGCCTGATGTACTCTTTCTGACACAATGGCTGGCGGTTTGGTGTGGTGGAAGGAGTTACACATCTTGAGTTCATCTCTTGGTGCTACTACCTCTGGGCCTTATGATGTTCCAGCTGTAAACGCTGGCTTTATAGAGAGAGTTAGAGGACAAGATGGGATGTGTGTCGGGTGCCCGGCCAGCGGTCGGATGGATAACTGCTTTTAAGCTTCCTCTCCTTGCCTGTCCACACTCCCCAGTCTGCAGTGGCGGCGGAGGCAGTTCGGCCATTGACTTGGTCTTCCTCATCGATGGATCCAAGAGTGTGCGGCCGGAGAATTTCGAGCTGGTGAAGAAGTTCATCAACCCAGATCGTGGACACGCTGGACGTGTCAGACAAGCTGGCCCAGGTGGGGCTGGTGCAGTACTCGAGCTCCGTGCGCCAGGAGTTCCCGCTGGGCCGCTACCACACCAAGAAGGACATCAAGGCAGCCGTGCGCAACATGTCCTACATGGAAAAGGGCACCATGACCGGGGCTGCCCTCAAGTACCTCATCGACAATTCCTTCACTGTGTCCAGTGGGGCCAGGCCTGGGGCCCAGAAGGTGGGCATCGTCTTCACCGATGGCCGGAGCCAGGACTACATCAATGATGCTGCCAAGAAGGCCAAGGACCTTGGTAGGTGCGCCCTCCTGGGCCCCGAACACCATGATGGCCAGGGGCACATGGCACAACCCATCGGTAATTTGTCTCAGTGTCTATTCCAGGGGTCCTCAAACTACGGCCCGCGGGCCACATGCAAATACAAATATTGTATTTGTTCCCGTTTTGTTTTTTTACTTCAAAATAAGATATATGCAGTGTGCATAGGAATTTGTTCATAGATTTTTTTTAAACTATAGTCCGGCCCTCCAAGGGTCTGAGGGACAGTGAACTGGCCCCCTGTTTAAAAAGTTTGAGGACCCCTGGTCTATTCTGATGAGAACCCCAAAGCCTGGTTCTATTTGAATGAGGAAGGACTGGTTCATCCACGTCTTTCTTATACTGGCGACAAAACTGAGGCCCCAGAAGAGTAAGTGGCTTGCTTCTGGTGGCCCTCTAGTGGGAGGGGGTGGGAACTGTTCCAATTGAATGTTCCCAAGAACATAACGTTGCTGAAAGGCAGCCCACTTTGGGACAAACCTGAGCCTTGTTTTATTGCCTATTAAGTGAGGATAATAACAACCACCAGAGGATGGTTATGAGAGTTACATGAGGTTACAAAGCCCCCAGGGCAGGGAGTCAGCACAGGCCTGGCATATAGTCGAATCTCAGCAAATGTTTATTTCCTCAATGTCTTTGTCCCAGGCATCGTGCCTGCACTTCCAGCAGCTGCCACCAGGAGGTGTCTGGAGTTGATTTCCTAGGCATCCTCCAAGAGGCTCAGCCTGGGCTGCCGGCCCCACCTCCACCCTTACTTGTCCTGTCCCTCTTGCAGGCTTTAAGATGTTTGCCGTGGGCGTGGGCAACGCCGTGGAGGACGAGCTGCGGGAGATCGCCTCGGAGCCCGTGGCAGAGCACTACTTCTACACGGCGGACTTCAAGACCATCAACCAGATTGGCATGAAGCTGCAGAAGAAGATCTGTGTGGGTGAGTGAGGCCAGCGCTGGCATGGAGGGGCGGGGCAGGTGGGCCCTGGGGTGGGCATGGAGCCACCCTGAAACTGGGTGTGGGTGGGGAAAAGCAGGAGCTGGGGCGGCACCAAGAACTGGCAGAACCAGGAGGTGGGCTGGCCAGTCTAACTCTTCCTACCAGCAAGCATATGTTTATTGAATGCTCGTCACATGAGTGACACTGTCCTCAGTGCTCTCCAGATATTAAATCATTCAATTCTATTCGGTAGGAATATTTTTATTCCCACTTTACTGATAGGAAAACCAAGGCCAGAGGGATAGAAAAATTGTTAATAACTGGAGGAGCCGGGGTTTGAATCCTGCCACCTCCCCCGACCCTGCCTGGTGACCTTGCCAGCTGGTCCCCAGGGGCAGAGTGTGGGCCCCAGGGCCAGAAGTGCCTGCGCTTGTATCTTTGCTCTGACACTGACTACCTGTTGACCATGGACAAGCTGTTTCACTTCTCGGGTTCCTCATTTGTACATGGGGTTCATGATTTTAAACACAAAGGTTTGGGGTGAGGAGTCACCACGATGACAGAAAGGCCCCTGACAGCAGTGTCCTGCACACAGTAGGTGCTCAGCGCAGTGCTGCTGTTATTGGAGTTCTTTATCAGGGCTCTGGGGGGTCAGGAAGACATGCTGGGGTCGCCCTCCATCACTCCTGGGGGCTCTGTCTCCGGAATTCTGCGTATCTCTGCCCCCTCAGATGTCCTGGGCCACACATTCCCCCAAGACTCCCTAGTCCTGGTCCTGGGCAGTGACTACCCCACCTCTCTGCCTGGCAACCCCTCACACCCCCTGTCTTTCTCTACTTCCTGTCCATTCCAGAGGAAGATCCATGCGAATGTGAGTCCATTGTGAAGTTCCAGGCCAAAGTGGAGGGGCTGCTGCAGGCCTTGACCAGGAAACATATCCTTTCCAGAGGCTGATGCAGGGAAGGGGAGGGGCGGGGACAAGAGGCAGGGCAGGGGCCAGGCATGGTGGGGAGGGGAGCTGTGGTGGGGTTGGGGCGGGCTCCTCCTTGCCTGCTCCCTGCTGAAGGCAGGCTTGATTCTGGCCAGATGGGCTGACTCCAGCTTTGATACTGACCCTATCAGAAGCAGAGGTCTAGAGGGTAGACAGAGAAACTGAGCAGAGGTCAGATCTAGAGACGGACACACTCGGAGCCCCTGGACACACCTCAGGAAAACACGGTGCCCGGCGACACTCACTTCTCAGGCTCTGGGTGACGTGACCAACACCAGCTCCCACTCAGATGGGCTGGGCCTCGAGCAGCTCCCCTGGCTGGGTCAGGCCTAGGTGGGGAACCAGTAGGCCTCAGCCTGCAGCTAGGCATGCGGGGCTCATGGTTCTGGCTGTTTGGAGAGCACCATGCTGAGGTCAGTGGATGATAAATTCCGGGGGCTGGGGGGGGGGTGAGAGAAAGTGCTGGAAGAGGGGGACTCTGCGGGATCAGGAAATGGGGGTCCGGAGTTCGGGTCCCACGTGACTGCCCCACGCTGGTCCCCGTGCACCGCTCCTTGACTCCGCCCACTGGAAGCTGTGAGTAAGCGGCTGGCCGTCATGGAGAACAGGATCGTCTAAGGCCGCTTGTCCCTGCTGTGGCTTCCCCATCTCCCCGCCCCACTCGGCCCACAGAGTCCGGGCGTGTCCCCTAGAGCCCCGAGTGTAGTCTAGCTTTGTCACTTAGCGAGGGGGGTTTGGGAGGGGCAGGCCCCTGGGATGGCAGCAGGCCTCTCCCTCGTCCACCAGCCTTGGAGCCCTGCCGGGGGTGTGTGTGTGTGTGTGTGAGTGGGAGTGCTGGGAGCGCAGGAGTTTGGGGCATGTGTGTGTGTGTGTGTGTGTGTGTGTGTGTGTGTGTCTGGGAGCAATGCACGAGTGAGAACACAAGGGCAAGTGTAACTGGGACTGCGTTTGCATTTTTTAACCCAAAGCTTAATATATTCCTGTTGTTAGTTACCCCTCCCTGACTGTGAGTGCTGTGAATCTCTTCTGACTTCTCCATTCCTTTTTGAAAAACAATTAAATGTGATTTAACTTAAGGGCTGAGTGGGCCAGAGGCAGTGTGGTTATTTGGGGAGCAGGATGAAGGGTGGCTGGTGCTGGGGTGATGGCAGATGATGACAGAGGTGGTAACAGTGATGACAGCGACTGCTCTACAACCGTAACCCGCTCATATATGTCTTGCCTTTTCAGTGACACATTCATTGCCATGATCTCATTTCATCCTCCTAGTAACTCTACCCAGGACAGACTCGAGTCACCCCATCTCACAGATGGGAAAGCTGAGGGTCTGAGGATGAAATGACTTGCTCAGCACTGGGTCTGTTGGAGAGACAGGACTTGCGTCCAGGACTCCAGGACAGCAAACGAAGGGCACAGAGAAGGGCAGTGACTCCCGATCAAACTCATTCATTCGTTCATTCGTTCATTCGTTCATTCATTCATTCATTCATTCATTCATTCATGCAGACAAAAACACTTACACAGCATAGACCCCATGTCAGACAGTGGGGAGATGTGGCCTATGAAATAGTCCCTGCTCTTAAGGGACTTACCACTGATCAGGGTGCTCTGTCACCCCCATATCGCTGGAGGAAGAGAGTGGGTTTGGGTTGTACATGAGGTGAGAGTGTATGAGAGGTGACGGGAAGGGTCCCAGCCTGAGCCTGGCTGGCCCAGGTGCCCCTGTGGCGTCCTCTCTGTTGGCTCCTTGAGCTTCAGAAGCTTCACCCCGACCCTCAACACAGACAGCTACACCCCCACCTCAGGGGCAGCACAAGGGAAAGACTGTTGACTCCCAAACCCCCCGACCCCACCCGGGGTCTGCTGCCCCCCACCCCAGGCCCCCCTGGATCAGTGTCCCTCTGAAAATTCAACTCCTCGCCTCCCAGAGGGAGCTGAGCTGATTTTCTGAACTCATTCTTGTTTAATGGAGCGTTTTTAGTGCTGCTACCAGATTCACAGGAAGCTCAGAGCATCCTGGAGGCCTTCCTTAGAGGCAGTCAGGAGGCAGAATAACCCCCAGCAACACCCAGGAGCCATGTCACACGGCACCCCACCTCACGGGGCCGCACAGCACCCCACCTCACGGGGCTGCACAGCACCCCGCCTCACGGGGCCGCACAGCACCCCACCTCACGGGGCCGCCCTGGGACAGGACCCCCACCACCACGCACACCTTTCGCTGAGCCCTTTCTCTGTGCCTGGCCCTGGGCTAGGGGGTGTGCTGCTGTCCAAGGAGGCTCCTGTCACACACCCTGTGACAATCACTCAGCCCACACTCCCCTTCTTCTGAGGTTATTCCCCACCCCACCCCCACAGCACCTGCCTCCGGGACCCAGCTGACTGGTCAATGGGTTTGACATGGGACGCCAGCTACCTGGCCGCTGGCCCTGGAGCCGGGAGGCCTATATCTTCTTCCAGGCACATAGAGACGGGGGCGACCATCCTTGGGAAAGAGAAAAGCAGCATTTGCTGGTTGCCCATAGCTCTCCAGTCCAGGGGTGTTGCAGTTATCTGCTGCCGGGTAACCAACCGCCCCCAAACCCGGTGGCTCAAAGCAACCCCCTGCTATTGTTGCGGGTCTGTGGGTTGGCTGGGCCCAGCGCCCACCCACGCTGGCAATTGTTTGGGTCTCAGCCAGGTGGGAGCCTCCAGCATGGCCCACTCAGGTGACTGTGGCTTTCAGAGAGCTGGCTGCAAGGCGCCCCCCCCCCCCTCTCTGTCTCTCTCTCTCAAATCAACAAATAGAAATTAAGAAAAGATAAATGGGGCCCATGTTTTCCCACAAGCACTCGGATGGGGTGTGAGGCAGGCTGTGCAGAGGCCTCGGCCGGGATGGGCAGGGTCCCCCATACATGTCACAGCTGAGGAAGGTGCGGTGACTGAGGCTGGCCCTGTGGGGCCCTGCGCAGGATGGCCGGCCGCTGTTGGGGTGGAGCAGCGAGTCCCTGTCAGGGATCAAGTCCTTATTGGCAGGGAGAGTTGAGAAACCGAAGGTGGTGCTGAGGCCCTGGTGAATCCTGCCAGGGACCCTCTGCATTAGCAGCAACGTCACCCATGTCCCAGCGCTGGGGCTGCCCAAGTAGGTGAGGAGCCGGATTCCTAGGCTTACCTAACGCTAAGGCCTTTCTCAACCACAGCAGGAACCCAGTGTTGCTGCCTGTGACCATGAATGTCCAGCCCCGTGCACACAGTAGGTGCTCAGCAGATCCCAGTGGCCTCTCTCTTCCCCCTCCTCCTGGCAGTGATCAGGCTCACAGTTCAGCAGAGGGTGGACCAGGTCCTGGAGGAGCCTGGAGCTGCACCCAGGTGCCCGAGGGCAGAGGGGCAGGGTTGAACCCCAAAGGGGGACAGGTAGGGGCCGGGCAGGGAGTGAGGGCCCCACCCAGCAAGCGGGGGGCCAGGGAGGGGCCCACGGAGCAAAGGCTGCCAGAGGCCACAGCCCAGAAGCTTGGAACTGGTGGACACACCCCTAACGTGTCAGGCCCAGCTCAGTCCCCAGTCCAGGCTGAGCTGAGGGGGGTGGGGACCCGGGGTCTCCAGGGCTGAGCCTCAGGATGGTCCATGAGAGCAACAAACGGAGGGGGCCTGGGCCCAGGATTGCCATATGGTGAGGGGAGGGCTGCTCCAGCGGGAGAGTGCATGGCAGCTGGTGGGAGAAGCAGTGAAAGCAGCCACCAGGGGACTGGACCCCAGGCACCTGGGTCAGAACAGGCGAGTTTGGGCTCCTGGTCAAAGTGACAGGAAGTTCACACCAACCAGCTCAGGCACAAGAAGGGGGCTGATGGGACCCCATGAAGGTGCTGGAGGAGGTGCTGGAGGAGGTGCTGGGCTCAGCAATGTCGTCAGCCCTCGGTCTCCCTGTCCTCTTGCCTCTGGTCTCCACCAGACCTCACACCCAGGCAGGCCCCCTGGACGGCCCCCAGCCCCACACTCAGCCCCACCAGCTCCGAGTTCACAGAATTCAGCCTCCTGGGTCAGCGGGTCCTGTGCCCGTCCAGGCTGGGATCAGGGCACAAGACCCCGAGGACTGAGAAGGCTCAGCAGCGGTTCCTCAAGGAGGAGGAGGGGTTGTTATCAGATGCCAGCGCCTGGGCGCTGGTGGACAGGACCCACAGGTGACCCCAGGATGGGGTCAGGATTGGCTGGAAGCCCTGCCTGGACTAGACCCAGGATCCCCCAGTCCCTGTGTCTGGGGAGAGGAGCCAGCTCTTCCAGGGTCGCGTTGCCAGGCTCCGAGGAAGGTGGAGCCGCATCTGAGGGTCTTTCAGGCCCAGACTCCTGCGCTAACTCATCATAATTCTCCCCACAGCTACTCTGGTCCCCCCGCAATCCACCCCACTCCCTCGTCTCCCTGCTCGGCTGGATTAGCAGAAGGTCATAAGCAAATCCCAGCAGCAGGCGAGCCGGCATCTCCCCGGGGCAGCCGGTTTATTGCAGACGGTGCATGACTTTGTAACCAATATTTTTGTTGGTTTTTATTTCTTATTTTAAAAAATATAGATAAACAGGACTAGGCTAATTAGGATTTTTTCCTTTCCTTACGTCTTGGATGACAATGGGAGTCTCTTGGCCCCACAGTGAATTGGTTACCAGGTTTCAATAAGAGGTTTGTCTGTGCAATTATAGTTCATTAATGGATTTACAAGCAAGGGAAGATGGCAAGGTCCACTGAGGGAATTGTTCTGCATTCTCCCCTTTTAATTACACGGTTTTCTCATAGACCGGTGCTCTGTGAAAAATGGGGTGCAGGGGGAGTCCCAGCATGCCATCTGTTCCAGATGCAAATGCAATTAATAGGGAAGAGACAGGCGGTGCTGGAGGCCTCCTGCTGCCTGGGGCTGGGCCTGCCTCCTCTCAGAGCTGCTGCAGCTGGAGGCTTGGCCACCAGAGCTCAGGTGGGCATATTGACATGGGACAGACCAGGTCTGCTCATGGGGACATGGCCACCTTTGAGTATTTGTGGTCAGAATCAGATTGAGGTCACCCGTTGTGTTACCATTTTTGGATCATCCTTTAGGTGCTAGGGAATAGAAAGGTACAATTTTGAATTCAGACGCCTCAGCGGTTCATTTGATAAGTCGGTTTCACAAAAGGGGAAGCCAAGGCTGCCAGTGGTAAGGTGTCACACAGCCAGCAAGAGGCAGGGCTAGGATTCGAACCCTGCAATCCTGGCTCTAAAGCCAGGCTTCCTTCCAGAACCTTGCCTCTCTGAGCTTCAGACATTCTGTTGAAAGGAATTCTAGCCCTTTTCCCACAGGTTGGGACGATAGCAGGTTCACTGGCCTTCCCGCCTGTTCTTTAATCCATTATGCACATTGGTACCAGAGTGGTGGTCCATGGTTGAGCCTCTGCCCAGGTCACACCCCTGCTCAAGAACCTTCTCTGGCTCCTCATTGTCACGGAGATAAAATTCATACTTAGCTGGACACCCTAGGTTGTATGGTCTGGCTATTGCCCTGGCCTGTTAGACCCCAAATTCCCTACTCTTCCCACTCACCCATTGCCGTCACCTGGGTGACCCAGTTCTCTGTCCGGGAAATGGTCTTCTGAATGGTCTACTGGAATAGATGATGCCA